CCCTCATGTCATTTGGGCCGGTGACGCGCTCTCCTTCGACAACGTGGAGAACGTCTGGGTGCACAAGTGCACCATCGCGGTGAGTACGCTACACGGTGGCATGCACTTCCGGTTGGCCCCAGTGTTGCCTCAACGCGGTGCTTTGCGCAGCGCATCGGGCGTCAGCACCTGGTGAGCTTCCAGAAGACCAACAAGGGCATCACCGTGTCCTCCTGCTACTTTGATGGCACCTCGCCAAGCTCAGCGTACTGCGACGGCAAACAATATTGGATCTGGCTGTTCTGGGGCACCCACGACGAGATCACCCTCATCAACAACCACGTCGTCAACACCGCGGGCAGGACCCCCCACGCTGGTGGCTGGAGCAAGTCCCTGGTAAGGACGGAGCGGGGAGCGCAGTGAGCGCCTGTGGAGAGCGGGGTAGGCCACCGCGCAACGCACCGCTGCGTCGTGCGGACGCCTACCCTGCCGGCCGCAGGTGCCGTGTGTCTTGAGAAAAGCTCGATCAACGTCACTAACCGGCTCTGTGTTCAGAACTACGTCCACCTTGTTGGCAACTCCATGGACAACAACAACCACGGAGGAATCGAGCCCAGGACCGGCTCTTACATTCTCAGTGAGGGCAACAAGTGGACTGCCTTCACCCACGTAAGCAACACTTTATACGATTTAAGTACCTAAACAATAATTGCGCAGAAAATTTCACAAGATTCTTTACTTTTCGTTGTTACAGCCCATCAACATCCAGGCTAAGGGTGGCCATCTTGCAATGGTCAACGACGCCAATGGTGCTTCGCAGTGCAAGAAGTACTTGGGCGCCAAGTGTCTCGTCAACAAGTATGACAGCAAGTCCAAGTCCAAGACCTGGTTCGACGCGGTCGTCCTGAGCCAGTTCAGCAAGCTCGACAAGACGGCCATCAGCAGTGCCCGCAACGCGGTTTGCGTATAACATTTGCATCTTAAAAATGCAAAATGAATAAAATTTTATCTCTTTATCGACATATCGTCACTAGTTTTTTTCCCGAAAGTGATTGCTCTTTTGAGGGTTCCACGAGCCATCCTGCTCTTCTCACCCTTTCAAGACAATATCTTCCTGTTCGGCCAAGCTTTACTGTTGAGACATTTCTGTACAAGTGACCCTCCCTCGGCCTCTTCACTGTCCAACAACACTATGGGCCGCCGGCGGCGGCCGCCCTGCCCTCCCCGTATATGTCCTCTACACCACTAGGCCGCCGAATTGCAAGATTGCAAGCAACCAAACAAATTTCAGCTAATGATAGAGAATAGGATCATGGCCCTATTCATAAATGCTTTCTGCTTTCAAGACAGATTCTTGATTTAGATTTTTTAAAAGATAAGGAAGATTTGTATTTGTTGAGGGTTGAGGAAGAGAAAAAAGAGCGTAAATTGTAAATTGAGAAAAAAATGAAATCATTTGATTTCCTGGCCAAAAAACCCCACAAAAAACACAATAAACCTAAGAAGTAAATGTAAGGGGACGGGAATCACTAGGAACCAAGAATTTTGGAAATCATGGGTACACATCAAAAGGGAGTTATTTCCCCCTCGTATGAATCGAATAAGAGGTAAATTCTTTATCACACTTCCTAAGAAAGAAAAACAGGTCATTTTCAATATTTAAGTTTTT